TCTGTCTGGCTCCGAGGCTCCCTCCCCGTTTCCCCTGGAGGCTCTGGAGCGGGGAAAGGGGCAGGGGTGTGTGTGGGTGTGTGTGCGAGTGCATGTGAGCGCCAGCCAGCGCCGGCTGCGTGCGGGGAGCCAGGGCTGGCTTTCTAAAGGAGCTCCACTCCGCTGGGGAGGGAGAATTCCCAGTGGCCTCGTAGGGAACCAAAGGCACTGATAAGTTGTCAGCTCTGCTGTTCTCAGAGCGGGTAAGAGGAAAAGCTGGGTGGGGGTTTTTTGAGCTTTGGGTCAGTGTCCCTTCCTCTAAGGACCTCGTCTCTTGCGGGTACTCCCACCTTTTCTGCATGGAGTTGCTTTGGCTCTGTGAAGACAAACGGTGTCTGGGGTTTGCCTAGTGCTGCAGGTCTTAGGCTGATGTTGGGATACAGTCAGGGAAAACTGTTTCTTTCCTTCAAATGTGGAAGCAGTGTAGTCCAAGGTCAGAGTCTGTTCGACAGCTTTTGCGTATGGTCTTTCTCGTAAGGGAGGGACCTCGAAGACTCCTTTCTTTGCTCCCCAAAGTAGCCTCGTACATGTCCATGTGTTGTGCTATTGGGCTGAGCTGTTTTATCAGTGAACTTGGTGAGCTCTTGTAAAGAAAGGGAGGGAGGAAGGGGGAGAGGCGGGGTTGTCCAGCTACTCTTCCTCCGGACACCAATCGGGTTGCAGAACTTCACTGAAAGCTTTACTAATAGAATTGTTGTTCTGACATTATGTAAAAGTGGTATTAATATTGTGTGACTTTTCAAAGAGCTAGTTAGATTTATAGATAGGTAATAGGGATATTGAAGAAATGACTTCTCAAAGAAAAGAGCACTTGGAACAAAAGAAGTGGAAAACAAGGTGTGCTTTATGGAAAACAAATCTGAGGAAGGAAATGAAACAGCTTGTGGGAGGCGAGGGAAGATGATACCCTTTGGCGTTCCTTAGTGCTGCTGAGGCTCAGCCCCAGAACTGGAACATACCCCCTCTGCCTTATTTCATCTCTCTACCAAACAGGACATTGTCAAGTAGCTCAGACCAAAACGTTGATCTGTCTTAAAACTGTGTCTGGGGTCTGCTGGGGAATATTCTCCGGCAGAGCTTTACATAATACCTTAAGATACTTAATTCATCACGTTAGTTTCCCCTTCCCTCCCAAAATTGTCTTACCTGTTGTAGGCCCCACTTCAGGATCCACACTGCCTTTGCTGAATTCTGTAGCAGCAGCTGCAGAAGCCCTATTCCCTGAATGTTCTAAYTTTGTGTGCGTCCCGAGCCGGCACGTTGCGGTGCTATGAAAACCCGAAATTCATYAACAATAGGAATCCTAAGACCTTAGGGAATGGCATGCCAAGGGGCAAATTGTGGAGATCGCAAAACCCCCTTGAGAAACGATTTAGGAACAAGAGYACCCGTGACAGTGTCCTGAGAACAAGGCAGTTGAGACAAAACCTTTAGTTCTTCCCCCATTCACTCTCCACGTKTCGGCCTCTGTGAGCCCGGTGCTCCCTGCACCTGAGCGAGTCCGAGGGGAGAACGCAGTGAGATGGACGCGGAGCTCGGGGCCACTCCCCGCAAGTTCCCGCAGAGTGGGGAAGGGAAGGCTTGGCCGCGGGGCCATCCAGGGCTCGGACAGGGCTGGAGTGCCGCCAGTGCTCCGTGGGCACCAAGGGCCCAGGCAGAAGCTCCTTGGTCCCTGCCAGGGCTGTTGTTCCATTTCCTTCCTCTGTGGTAGTATCTAAGGCTAGGTGTGAGTAGGTGTGGGGTGTTTATCCGCCACAGGTACAGGAGCTGTCGTATACCTCATTTCTAACTCGTAACTGAGTAACTTGCTTTAACTTTCTCCAAACCCCACAGAGTTGCCAAGTCTGCCCTCCCTCCTTTGATTAACACTGAACTCTGGCCTATAGCACCCCGTGACCTGCAACCTGGGGAGTGACCCCCTAAAGCCTCTGAATGTCGCTGCTTAAAAGCTACTGCAAAGTGAGGGCAAATTGCAATCTTACCTTATTTCCTTTGGTTACAAGGGGTCCTCTTGATTAGTCTGTGAATATCCACCCCCTCCCCTCCACTCTCCGTGGAAAAGGGCCGCCCATGCTGCCTTTTCCCACCCCGGGACAGCTGTCCATGGGGCCCGAAGGCGCTCTCAGCCCAGTGCTGTGTACATGCTACTCACTTTTTAACATGACCAAAAAAAAAAAAAAAAAGAAAAAAATAGAAATCTCCAAATATTTAATTTTCTTCTTTATTATTTGACAATCCTGTATCCCTTCCCCACTCCTCAACCTGGCCAGAAGCTGCATCCTTAACCCGGTCCATCTTTATTTGAATGTAGTTCCCCTACCCCCATGGGAAAGAGAAGCTTTGTCAGGTCACGGTGGCTGCTATAAGTCGGGAGGGGGCGGTTTCTTTGTTTTGTTTTGTTCTTTTAAAATTTCCAGCCAAAACCAAAGATTTCCTAATGATTGTATAAACTCAAAACAAACAAACAAACCAAAGACAAAGGGCGTCTTCAGCACCAAGCCCACCTGTGAGGCCAGCCTGGCCCGGCCGGGCAAGGGTCGCTGCCARCCTGGGGGCCAGCACGGGGCTCCAGAACGCCCCGGGCAGAAACTCCTGGCTCCAGGGTGAAATCTGGGGCGCAGGCGCTGCGAGGGGGAGGCCGGGGCTTCGCAGGTGGGTTGAGGAGCTGAAGACTTGGGTGCAGGATTGGCTGCTCTGCTGGGTGCTTTAACCCTCTGGGGGCTGGGTGATGTTGATTAATACACGCTGAGGTGCACTTCTGAGCTTCCCCCCCTTCACTGCTTGGAAGAGGCTGTCCTGTCGTGAGAAATCCCTGAAAGAAGAAGAAGCAGCTTTTCATTTCTCCTCTAGTTCCTTTTYTCTAGATTTCTTTTATTTTTGCAGCACCACTGTGCAACTATGCATTGTATTTCTCAACCTTTTATGCTAGGTAGATGCCTGTGACTTTTTAACTTTTGGGGGGGAATTGCAAATGGAGGAACTTTTTACATGGATCTTTTTAATCTCAGTTGATTGGGGGGTGTTTGGTTCTAGGGTCATACAAGCTCTATCCCAAAGCAAAATCCAAATGTTAATATTATTAGCCTGATGCAGATACCAAAGATAATTTCTTTCCTGCAGAACCTTAGACTTGTGTATTAAGTACGATTACCCAGCACTTGCATTAGTCTAACCTCAGTAATTCCAAAGCTTAGATGTATATTTTGGTATATTTCTGGGATATTAAAAAATTGTCGTTTAAATTCTTGTTTGTTTCAGTGTAATGCTCTTAAAGTCATAGCATGGAGATAACTGAACTTGTCCTATTCTTAGTAGTTTGAAATAATAGTATTTTTGTATGTTTTGGGTGTGTCTATGTATGTATTAACATAACAGTTTTCACTGCCTAGGTGTTCATAAATAATAAAAGAAAAACCAACTACAAAGGGTTTTTAAACTGTACATAATATTCCGTGAGGAATTTCCACCAGACCGCCAATTTGGATTGCATTTTCACTGATGGCCGCTCCCAACTGGGATTCTTTCTTTCTTTTTAAAGAGACAGCATGTTTTGGTTTTTTTTTTTAACCCTATTGACCTGAGGTTCTTTCTCAGTGTAAAGGGGTTTTCACTCTTTTTAAGGGGTGGGCCAAAGAGGAAGTAGCTTAAATTTTGTTATTAAAAAAATACTTGACATGTTAGTTTGAAAACTACTCCTTTGTATGAAGATTTGGGAGTGGAAAACCAAGCCCTTTCTTCTAAATCTGGTAATAATTTTTAAAGAAATGAGGATTTGTGAATGTCTGTAGTATCTGGGCAGTTCCTTTTTGCTTTTTTTTCTAAATAAGACAAGTTTTTGGTCCTAATGGTTTCACTGCTCTGTGCAACTACCTGCTTACACTGGCTGGGAGGTTTTTTTTTCCTCTTGCCCTTCCTCATACACTGCATTTATACACTTGAGGTCAGCAGAACACTTGAAATCAAGGGCCATATGGGAGTACCCTACCCAACGCAACCCAAGCTTTTCTTGAGACTGAAATGTGAAAGTCCCACACATTTCAAAACCTTGCTGATCACACTAAGGGTGAGGAGGAAGSTGAAATGCTGTCTCTTTAAAGATGTCCTTTATTATTATTATTATATTATTATTATTATTTTCCCAGTGGTTGCCTACAGATAGCTGTAGGCATTGAGAGATTGTGTAGATTACAGTAAATCAGAATGAAAAGGTAGATTTTGTGTAGATGCATTTGTCTGCTGTAATTTTTTATATATATTAAACTTACTGTAATTGTACAGTTCATTTCTGTTGTAAACATCATTAAACCATTTTCCAAGTGTTTTAACATGTATGCACTTGTTTGTAGTTTTTAAATGTGTCAGGGGAAGGCTGATTCCCCTTCCTCCGTGCATCAGAGTGAGCCAGAAGATTGATCTGCATTGCCCTTTGTCTTGTCAAACTGGAGGAGAGCCCATGTTTTATGCACTCTGCTTGAAGCTTTTGTTCTAATTTTGTATTTATCMGCTCCTCTCTAAAAGCAGAATCAGCTTCAGTCACTTCCTGAAGGCAAAGAGGAGATGGCTCAACCCCACGGTGAGTGGCCCCAAAACCACCGCTGGATGCTTTTTAAAATCAAGATAGCCAGTGATACATAAAAAGCACAAACGTGATTTTTTCCCCCAAAGAATTTCATTCCTATTGTTTAGTGGTTGGTGTTTCATGCTGCCAAAACTTGTGACTTCTACATCTTGCAGAGAGGGTTATGATGGTTTAAAAAGAGAAAGCTGTTTTCAGTACTCTTTGTTCTTGCATCAAGTGCTTTGCAGCATAACTTTACTGTRATTTTCAGCTCAGCTGTCTTAGTTATCACCCAGTTCTCTCAATTTTTCTTGTCACTGCAGAACAGTAAGGGATCTAGGATTTTTTTTCCAAGAAACATTCATTACCATTTCTGAGTTTACTTTTTTTGCTTTAATTTATTGCAAATATTCTTTAAAAGCTACAATTGCTTACTGCAGGTACAGTTTCACTGCTTAAGAAGTAAAACTGCCTTGGAACTTGCATAGCACCCATTTCRACAAGTTTTTCTGCTGCTAACCCACCCAGTCCCTGGAAAGAAGACATAACCTTATCTGGGCTGTGCMCACAGCAGCAGCTCTTGTTCCCACAGCCTTGCTTTAGCTCTGCTGCTTCTGTGAGGACTGGTGAGATGGCCTGGCCACCCTTTATTTGGCTGGGCTGGATCTGTCCTTGTGCATTCTTGTAGGCTTCACTGTGCAGCCTTGCAAGGCATGGGGAAAACTCAGGCTGCACAGCAGGAGGTGAGTGTCCCTTTTATACCTGGGTTTAGGGCATTTTCCCAAATCCCATCCCACTCCTGGGATGTGTTTAGAAGCCTCTGTTGRAATCCTTCTCCTCAGCTTCCCTGGGAGATGGTGCTGCTGGGTGCAGGTTGGTTCAGACGGCCTGAATGCCTCAGGTAAGGAGCCTGCACCATTCCCACTGCTGTTCCCTACACACACACAGGATTCTGGCASTGTCCTTATTAATTCATCAAAAACACATGACTTTATTGAACTGGCATCTCTTTGGAATGATACGTGCACCTTTCAGAGGTAGCCTCGTGAGAGACTGGTTTGGAAATTGCATTTATTCTAGACTTTTGTTGCCCAGAAGTGATAAGGGGAGCCCATCTCCTTGTTTTCAGTGAAACTTCTGCCTTTACAGAAGCCTCTCACTCAGGTTACCTGGCTCCTGTTTATGGATGAGTGCCAGTGCTATTGCTTGATCTTTTCTGGGATCTTGGTGCTCATTTTCTTCCTGCTGAAAAGTTGGCATTCAGCCTCTCAGCTTCACTGTTATAGCATCACGTCACTCTTTGTACTTTAAAAAAAAAGCTGTCTTCCACTGAAGCAGTTTTTAAAGGCAAATTTAAAGTAAAAAGCGTCTAACAGTCTTAAGATAAATACTACAGGAAATTACTACAGCTCTATCTTTACAAGTTTTTTTAATGGAATAAAACCATAAATCCATGTCTTAATTGGATTATGTTACTCTGGAAAGGGAAGAACTATGGAAATAGCTGTGTTTGTTAGAAGTTGTGGTCTGGTCCCACAACACAAACCTTACGTTAAAAATCAGCCTAATAACCACTATGATTGGAATCAACTTTACAGATATGTACATTCTAACAGCAAAAGCAGTTAAATGATTCAGGAGGAGAGGGAGCAGGGAGGAGCCAGGTCCAGAGTCTGTGCACCAACCCAAGGAGGTTATTGCACACAGAAAACACACAGCACTTGTGTTGGATGAAAAGGCTTTCTCCCCTCTCCTCCCCTAGGAAGGTGGGCATCTCACTCTTGCCCATCCCCTCTGAGGCTCCCACTTAGCGTGGGGGCAAAGGCTGCATTTGGAGAGCATCGTAAGTGTCCTTGGTTGCTGCACTGAGTCCCTGAAAAAGAGAACAGCAGAAAAACAGGTGAGGGATAAATGTGAGTGTTTCCTTCACCCTGGCYGAATGGTCAGCAACAGGATGGCAGGGACTCAGTCAGGAGAATAAGTCTAATTTTTGTTTCCCCTACAGGAAATCAGAGGTTTTTATTCATGAATGATTCTTTAGTCTTTGCACAGTGCCAGTAGCTATCACTTACCTGAAGGCAAGGTACATCCCAAGTAATTGTTAGGAATGTGTGACTACAGCCCTTCATCCTACCTGGTTCTTGGAGTACATTTTATTTGCATGTTACCAAGAGCTAACTAATGCTAGAATGAGCTTTGGTAATTAAATTAATAGACATCACTGAAGGTGCCAGTGGATCTACAACTCCAGGCTACACCTCACTCAGGAGGACAGTGAGGGAAGCAGCTGTAGGAGGTGTTGCTTACCTGGTAGAGACCTTCATTCCCTTTGCCTCGCCGCCTCTGCTGCTTTGGAAAGGAAAATAAGCATAGATTGATTAATGGGTGCTTTCCTGATTATGCAAAAAGAAAAAAAGCCCCTGAGTTCACCCATCCTCTGCAGGTGTACAGGATGGACCAGCTGTGCTTGGCCTGGACTCTGCTCTGCACAGGAAAGCACCTGTTAAGTCTGGACCAGCCCAGACATGCTGCAAGGGCTATTAAGAAAAAAAMCAGAGAGGACAGGAAATAAAAACACACTATTTTGGTTTGCTGACATATTTTCCTGTTATACTGCTAGAATGTTGCTGTTTCTTTGATTTACTGTATGTATAGAAATTTGGCAGCATTCCCACAGACACTGATTATTTAGCAATAGATTGTATCACAAACGTGTCAAGGAGTAGTGCTTGTTACGGTTAAAATTGTGGTAACCTATTAAATGATCATATATTTGGAATGGGATAAGGGCTTTGGTGTTCTTGACCCTCCAGAAAAAGAAACATTCAAAAAACATGGTGCAACCTTATAGATCCATAGCTCATAGACAGAGCTTGACTCTGGCAAAGGGGCATTGGAATAAAAAAGGGGAAGGGATTAAATGCTGTGTTGCTCCAGCGTTTCTCAACACTAAACTTTGTTTTGAAATGCCCCTTTTTTCATGTGTCAGAAGGAAATGGAAGGTTATATATATATATGACACTTTGACATAAAATAGAACCTGTGTAGGTCACAGCAATTTTTCATTTTGCCATAAACAAGTGTCCCTAGATGGTTTGTTTTGCACACATGCTCCCCTCCCCCAGCAGTTTGTGCGCAGCTGAAGTTCTCCCTCTGCTGTAGCTGGAGACATGACTGATGTGTGCCTTCCTACACATTTGAGAGCAGAGCTGTGCGAAGGAGAATGCTTCCCCTGTTCCTTGGCTGAAGTCAGGCACAAGGAGGGACTGGCACATTCAGGCAGCGCTGGCAGCCCRTGGAGGGGAAACCATAAACCTGCAGCTCCAAACTGCTCTGGAGGAATGTGCTCCAACATCTCCCAGTGCTGCTGGACCATTGCAGCACTTGACACCAGATATTCCTTCAGCTGTTCTTCAGCCATCTCATGCCCTCTGCCCCGCAGCCAGGGCAGCCATCAGAGGTTTCCGGCCCAAGCTGCAGTGTTTGTTGTTGCCATGTTTTCACCAGGAGGGAAAATAAAACTCACCTCTCCCTTCATTCCAATTTCACTGTAGGCCTCACCCATCTTGTCCTTCTGCAGTGCCTGCAAGCAGAGATGGGAAAGAGTCAGTGTGTCAACAGAAAAGCCAAGCCCGCCCCTGGGTGGCCACACTCAGAACCAGCTGTGATCAGTGTCTGATACAACAGTGAAGGTCTTGGAAATAAGCTCATTTCTCAAGCACTRAAAACCCAGAACGACCCGAGTTATGACGTGAGAATTAATGTCCAGATATCTCTGCTTTGGAGCACAGGCCACCACATTTAGCCAGAGTCAAATCCACTAAATCAAGAGGTTCCTAAGCAGCCCCTTTTGGATGCGCTGGCATTTGGCCATGGCCAGAGGGCAGTCACAGGGGCTGGAGACCATGCACATAAAATACTGCAGCAGGGATCACGTGGGATGAAGGTTGGTTAGTCACYAGCATTAGGCATTAGCAGATATCTTGATCCAAGTTCCACATCTCCSAGGCARTGTTTTTCTCCTATCATAGAGAAGYAAGYAGAAATTTTCTAGCAAAACCAGAGGGGTTTGGGGGAGGATCTTGAAAGCAGATGTYGAGTTTTGAACCAAAACTGAAATTGAGTAGGGGGAGAAAAGGGTCTCCCATGAAACAGAATGTCCTGTTCCCAACCATCCCTCCCTSTCTGCTCCCTCCAGAGTGCTCTACTCACAGTGTAGACAGTGTCCTGAGGGTTCTTTCTTCTCTGCTGTAAAACAAAAGAAAAAAAGTTGCCCATACATTGCACTACTAGCATCCACCTTGTACGTGTTTGTGCATTTACTCTCTGGCACAGCTGTGGCTCTAGGGACCTTCCCTTCCCATTCSAATCCATCCTGCCTCCACCCATAAGGCTCTGTTCAGGCTCTTGTCCTCTGGAAAATTAATTTTACAATTGGTAAAACTTAGTTCTTCTCTGCTCACTCCATGCAGCTGTCACCTGCTGATGCAAAAGGTTTTCCCTCCCTTTTCCTTTGAAAGCAATGGGCTCTGCAGCAGCAGGAGTTGTTCTGGCTGCTGCTCTATTTTGTGGGCGCTTGTTTGGCGGCATCAGATGCGGTGAGCTCTGTGAAACACCCACACTGCTGGGCCTCCTCCACATCCGCCCGGGCCCGGGTGTCACTTCCTAGCCCGGCTGGCTGCGAGCTCCAGCCAAGCGAGGGGSGCAGAGATCAAAGGGGGGGAGGTTCACTGCTCTCCCCCCGTGCTGCCCGAATTACGACACAGACCGTGTCGTTCCCTCCCCAGGAAGGCACTCGGGAGGCTGCCTATGTGAGCAGCGCTGTGACACGGCGTGGGAGGCACCAGACGAGAGAACAAAGGCGCACAAGTGTGAGGAGGTTACCTGGTGTCTCCCGCCCAGCTCAGGGTCTGCTCCTCGCTTTGCTCCCAGAACATCATAATCGTCTCTGTGCGTACGGGAGAGTTTCTGAAACAAAGCAGGAAGCAGTGCATGGACACTGTGATGATGAGATCACAGATCCTGATTTAACACAGGAAAGAAAGGGAACCCAGCTCGGTTCACAAGGACCGTAACTGAACTAAAATTATTTTCACTTCTTAAGGCAACTGTCAACAGAAGTGTCTACATCTACAACATGGAATGACACAAATCTGCAAACTGTTGCATCAAGAACTTTCCCTAAGTGGAAATTATTTGAAAACCAGTGTGAAAGGTAGGGACACTGACTTTCATGCTTTCTCTTCCACTGGAGAGTGAAGATCCATGAACTTCATTTTTCCTGCAGAGCAGCTCATCTAATTTTCATCAAGCAGCTACAGAAGTTTTATGTCCAATGCAATTCCTAGCTGGGAAATGTTACCTTGGACAAGGGCCAAGGAGAGATTTCAGGTCAGAATAACACAGCTGATAGTGCTACTTAAAAGCTGACAGGCTACCCTTAAACTGAAAAGAAATTGCATTGGTGTTCATACATTACACAGTTAAACAGAACTCATCACAGGATGTGGCTATGGTCAAAAGCGTGAGAAAAAAAAATTAAAAGACAACTAGACGTAGCAAAAATAGCTAAAAATTTAATGCTGCCATGAATGAGCAATTTAGTTAGGGAAGGACAGGCAGGATCTTGTCTGTCTTCCTTCACTGCCTAAAGATGCTGCCCGTGGTCAGGGCACAGTGGACAACGTACAGCTCTGGTGTGATCTGATACAACAGGGCTTGCTGTGGGGCAACAGGAAAGCTTGAGAATGGAGGCACAGGGGTTGTGGTGGCTCAGGCTCCACACACTTGGAAATGTAAGAGCTGCAGGTGCCCAAAGTCACCTCCACAGCATTCCCTGGCATTTGCCCTTAGTCCAGCCCCCATCGAACAGCACCAGCAGCACAGGCAGTGGCTGCACACACCCACACAGAGCTCCCACAGGCCTGTTTGTTCCATGGGGCAGCACAACAAACAGCCTGAGCTTCGGCCAACCTTCAGCTCAGTGGGTCAAATCAGGAACCTGAGAGCTCTCTGGGTCCGGCCAGATTGTGACACCAGAAGCTGCCCCTTTCCTCCCTACGCTGCCACGCTGCACACACACGTGCAGGTGTGTATGGCCTACTCATCAGCTGGCTCTCCAAAGCTTCTCTGACCAGCCAGCAATTCACTGCCTCTCAGCACCCCAAAAGGAATGTCTGGATGGTGGATTAGGAAACAACGACCAGCAGTTACTTACATTGTACACATCATCCTGGCCCGGTCGCAGTGGTTCAGAGGCCTGGCTGAGCTGGAAGAGAGACCATTCCATGAGCAGAGAAATCGTGGCTCCCTTCAGTCCTTTCATTCCCTCTCTCCTGTGAGTTATTCTCATCAGGAACAGCAACCCACAAGCAGCCCCCCTGTGGGGCTACAAGCAGTACAAACCAGGCTGCAGTGGCACTTTTATCCCACAGCAGCCTGCCCTCAGCAGCCAAGTCATTTTACTCCATGTAACTCCAGCTCGCAAACATCTGGATTTGTTCCCTACACACACATGCCCTCCTCAGATTTTGTCTCTCCATTCTGTTCCTGTCATTAACTTGTGCAATCAAAAGTAGCTCCATCAGGTAATGAAATCACAGCCTGTGTTAAAAACTGGGTATCTGAGGCTGCTAATAAGCAAATGCCCTCCTGGGAACTCAGTTCTCCAGCTGCCTGCAAAGTTTCTGGGCTTCCTGCAGGCACTTGGCTTGCAGGGCTCTGGTGCCACCACAGTAAATTGGTGTGAGTGGCAGGTAACAAAGAGGTAATGGATTATCCCTTCTGTAACAACTCTTCGGCTCAGCTGCTTCTATATTTAGCAATATTTATGAGTAATCAATTGCTAAGCCCAGCTTTCAGATAAAAAGAGGCAGTTTTAGTCAGTGAGAGCAGTTACTTTGGGTTCCAGTCTTTTAAAAAAACCCATCAAGCTACATTCTGTATTGGTTCAGCCTTCTTGAGTTACTATCAGGTTAAATTCTTTACTAAGTAACCTTCTAGCTACGTCAATATTCAGACACAGAATCATGTTTGTAGCAATTACAAACTTCCTCTCCTGTGTTTGTTTGGGTTGTTCGTTTGCATCATCACACTCACAGTATCAAAGATGTATGAATTACTGAGACATTTTAATACATCCTTCACAAGCTTGGCATTTACCCTGAATTTTCTGTATATCCCCTCCTGTTTCCAATGGCAAAGCAGGAGAAAAAAGCCCCACATCACTCTTGATCTTGATGGGAACATCTATAGAATCTCTGATGTATCAACAAGTGTAGCACCAAAAAACTCTCATCTACTCTTCCTTGCTCCATTCATGAACCTTTGGAAAGGACCAGCCCAGGTTGCTCAAGTGGACACCAGAAACAAAGGAGGGGGGGGAAAAAAGAAAGAAAATAAAAGAATAGGAAGGTCTTATTCTAAGAGATGATTCCTCTCCCCTCCCACTTTCCAGCCCAGCCCAACTATTTTACTTCACCAAAGCCACATCCAAATGCCTCTGTGTTTGGTTAGACTGACCTTTGCCTTCACAAAAAGGGCTGTCATGACCACTGCATAAATGAAGAGGAACCCATCCAGGATGTAGCAGAGCCTGGGATCTGTGAGGCCAAGAACCGATGCAGCATCTGTACAAAAACATGAGACACATCAACAAACAAGGCCATTTGTGTCACTGGGTGCTTGGCAGCATAAATGTGCCAGTGCTGCATAGCACTCATGGAAAAACAGCCAGTGTGAGGGCAACACTGCCCCTTTGCCAAGGAGATGGAACTCTGAATGTAAGAATTATAGGATTAATCTGGTCTAAAAGTACCAGGGCAAATCCAGTCTTCTCTCTAAACAGGTTCAGTTAAACCAGACTGTCCAGGACCTCAGTCAGCTGAGAGTATTCCCATAGGTAAAAATGTTTGCAAACTCCTCCAGCTAATACAGGACATTTATTTTCTGGAAAAACCCAGAAGAATCTCCTTCAGGGATCCATGACTGGGCCTGCTTAAGGCTTCCTTCATCAACTAACATGTGAGTGTGTTTGAGAAAATACATCTGTTTGGACCAAATTTTAGGGGGATGCTTCTCAGGAAACAATTCTGCATCAAATGTAAAGAAAGACTGACACCATCACATGCAGTAAGAGACCCAGGCTGAAATAAAGACTTTGAAGATGCATCTCCCATATCCCAGCTAACAGATTATCTGCAAGGTTTCTTTTGGGCTCCCAGTGTGTGAATGCTGGACACTGTTAATGGGGAGAAGGGAGCCATGGGCAGGACAGAAAGCCTTTTAAGCCCAGATGTCAGGATACATCCATAAAGACAGCTATGAGAGACCCTGATGTGATTTCTGGTTGAGAGGAAGGCTTTAAACCTGAATCCCTGCACAGGAACCTCAACTGTCCTGGGTGGCCCTCCCACAAATTTTTATTTCATAGAATCAGAGAATATCATGCTGAAAGGGATCTCAAGGATCATCTGATCCACCTGTTCCTGTCAAAAGCACAGTCTAGAAAAGATGGCCCAGCACACCGTCCAGACAGATCTTAGAAAGTGTCCAGTGTTGGGGAATCCACCACTTGCCTGGCGAGGTTATTGCAATAGTTAATTGTTCTCACTGTGAAAAGTTTTTTCTTTTTTTTTCTTTCTTTTCCAGTAGGAATTGCTCCAGGTGTTACTTGAACCCACTGCCCCTGGTTTTCCATGTGACTCCTCCTTTTCAGCTACCATTTAAATATTTATACATTGACCACATCCAGTAAGACACCTGAATATTGTTGGGCTTCAGCAGATAAACCTGATGAAACTGCCCCTGTATCAGTTCATAAAGATGTAGAAAGTTCACAAAGTACAGCTAAAAGAAATCAAAGGCTGAGTAACTATAGATCCAATATGCAGCTCCAGGTCCATCCCCCAAGGAAAACCTGTATTGCACAGTTAGGTAAAAACCAAAACAAACATCTTAAAATTAATCTGAGTTGTGCTTTGTACAGATTTGGAGAGAGTTCAAAAGAGAAAAACAAAAATGATCAATAATCTGCAAAGCCCTTTGATGAAGGTAAACAATCACTGTTCCCACTGACAGCCTCACACAGCCAGAAAAAAATAATTCAGAAGAGTAGATTTGTTTGTTTGTTTGAACTAGGAGTTCGCATTCATGGTTTTCTTAAAACCATGAATTGAGAAACAAATCCACAGAAATCAGTTGAAATCCTAGATGGTTTTGCTTCTTCCTCCCTATTTTTCATTATTTAAAAAATGCATCTCAAAGCACTTTATAAACAGTAACCTTCACCACATTTCCTCAGGACAGTAAAATTTCATAAATATGGGGTAAAAAAAGACAGAGAGATTATGTTTTTGCTCAACATTGTATATTAAATCAACAAACAAGCTGAGATTACCTTCCCAGAGCTTTTCTTCTAAACAGTTCACGGCACAGTATTTTACACCACCCTGAATGCATCTGAGATGCTCCTGAAGGCAGCATTTTTGGGCACTCTTTGGGTATCCCGGCCCTGAATCCCCTCTTCCTGTTCCAAAGCCAGGCACGTTCATACAATCATCTCAAGACAATGAGAAAGTCCAATGTTTAGAAACAAACCAATAAAATGAATAGTAACATTAGGGTTGGAAAAGATTTCCAATATCACCAAGTTCAACCTTCAGCCAAATACTACCATGCCCACTAAATCATACCATGAAGTGTTGTGTCTCCTCATTTTTTGAACATTTTTAGGGATGATGACTCCACCATTTCCATGCATTTCCCTGGAGAGCCTGTTTCAATGCTTAACCACTCTTTCAGTGCAGAAAAGTTTCCTAATATCCAACCTGAACCTTCTCTGGTACAGCTTGAAGCTACTTCCCCTCATCCTGTTAGTTCACATTGTTTCCTTCCTTAATATGTTTGACCTTTACGTCCTTAAACAAAACAAAACAAAACGTACAAAGCACTGTCTAAATAATAGCTTTGCAACAGTTTTCTGGATTTAGAAAGTGAGACAGAGAAAAAGACAGAAGGTACAAAGCCTGTTAAAACAAAGGTCAAAGAGATAGGCAGCACAATGAAGAAGTGGCAGTTAAAGCAGTTGCCACCCTTTGGTAAACAGGACCAGTTCAGGTTTTTTTAATCACCAGAGGAGGGGTTACTGCTGTGCAATATTTGCACAACATAAACAGAAGGCCCATCCCTTAGGCACCACCAAAATGTACTTTCTGTCCCTCATCAGCCATGGTCTGGGGGGCTGAGGCCAAGGTCACAGGGTTTGGGCTGATGATGGGAGCCGGGCAGAGCCCAATGTGCCAGGCCTGAGGGAGCAGTGACACGCAGCTGCATCACACAGAGCAAAGCACGAAGAGCAAACAAATAGTGAAGCACAAATAATAAACATTTCACTGATGATTCCTGCTCTGCTAACCTCACAGATTACACAGTGCCTACTGGGAGTTGCACAGCATCTTTCCAATATTCACATACCAGTGTTTTACCAGTCCAAATTTCAGCAATACAGTGAAGTACAGCAGAGTTTTAAAGCAGGATGTCCAAGTACAGGCAGGGCATGGGCAGTGTCAGGTCACAGGCCAGAGGGGAAGGCAGTACACGGCTTTGTACATGATGTCCAACTTACTGCTTACATGTGCCTCAGACAAACAGCATCTCTCTTTCCAGGAATCCAAAAGCAGCTGAGGCACAAGTCCATGCCGGGGTATACCAATACATAGGGGCTCAAAGATGAGGTCAGAGTGGGGATCTTGCTCCAGAGGGAAGCAAGCTCTGAAGGAATAACAATTAGAAAGCTGGCACTTACCTGTGCTCACCTCGTGCTCCTGTGCAAGGAGCTGCAGTTATATTGGCAACTGCAGGGGAGGGGGGACATTTACTGAGAGACCACCAGATGTGAGGACAAACAGGAACAAAGTGTGCATTTGGTAATTACCTTTTAGTTTTAGGAGCTTGTACAGGAGAAGCTCGGGAAAGCTTTGTACAGGGAGCTGACACAACCTGGGACTGGCAGGAGAGGAGGCAGTCACAGAGCACTGCCTAGGCTGCCAGCCCTTCTCAATCTCAATTGCCTTCACCTCACTCTTTCACTTCTTTCTCTTCCACCACTGAGAGGTTTCTTCCCAGCATCTCCTCCTTCCAAAGCCTGGACTTGTGTTCCCCTCCTCTTCTCTGCTCCCACCCAGCAATGCAGCCCTGCTCCCCTCTGTCCCCAAGCACTCCTGTTGCTGCGGGTCCCTGCACTCCTGGACCTGAAGCATCTCCCTCATCCTGCTCCACACTCACACCCCCAAAGCAGTTCTGCCAGCCCAGCACCTCTGCAACAACCCCCTGCAGCCTTTTACTTTCTGAAGCATGCGGGGGTGGGGGGAGAGAGGAAAAAAAAAAAAAAAAAAAGAGAGAAAAAAAGGCATTTTATAACTGCTGCGGACAAGCAAGCAAGAAAAAACACTGCAGCAAGAGCCCAAGAGCAGCCCCAGGAGCCGAGGGAGAGGAAGCCTGGGGGCCGGTGAGGGAGTGAAGCTGCGCTGCGGGCACCCGCCTCGAGAGCCCTGCATGGTTTCACAGACATTTTCTAGCCCAGGGCTCAGGCCAGCACAGTTCCCCTGCACAGGGCAGCAAGTTTAGCCGACCCCTGCTCCAGACCTGGAGAGAGCCAGGGAGTCCCAAAATCCACATCCACACACAGTCGCCCTGCTCCAGAACATGACATGAGAGAGGGATGCTGCATCCCACAGGGCTGGCCCAGTGCAGCCAGTACCAATGGCATCAGCTGAAGTGAATCACTAGAACATGGCCTGGATCCTTGAAACATGCCAGCAGGTTTCTTTATAATAGGATTTTTCCCCTCTGATGTTTTTAGTGTGCATCTGGACTGAGTTAGAACATGATTCCTGAAAATAGTTTGAGAAATACAGACCGTAAAAGCTGAATTACTTGTAAATCCAGATAAAATCTGTCCACCATAACATGTTTTCTCTCCCCTGGCTCTTATTAAATGATTCATTTCAGAGTTTTACTTTTAGGGGTTACCCAAATTCGGTAACACAGCTGTAAATGAAGCATTTTATCTTCCTGGAAATGGAGTTTCACAGTGAAGCCCAGGAAAACCAATCCCAGCACAAGAGATTTACTGATGCAACTGTGCTTACATACAAAGGTGTTTAAAGGAAGATCCTGTAGGGCCTTCTCCCAACAGCCCAAGGCTGCCAGGGCTGCTTGCTAGGGTGAAGCAGGCAGCTTTCCTCAGACACCACCAGCAGGGATCTGAGAGACTCAGGTGTTGCATTTGCCTCACTTCTACCCCGTATCATCCAAGAGCCTCTTGCTGCAGGTTTGTGTGTCCAAACCCCCATGGGGACTGAATTCCACAGCTGCAGGTCCCACCACTGCATGTACTATGCACCTACCAGACTCTCTCCACAGAGGTGTGATGGATCTCACCTCACAGCTGCTGTCTGAGAGCAAGATTCAGAGCCCAAAAGAGCTCCCTGAGCTTGGGAGAGAACGAGGCGAGACATGAGCACCCTGCATGGTACTTCACTTCAAGTGAATACAGGCCTGCAGTGGAAAAGACAGCCCAGACAAAATGCCTAAAAGATAGACAGACAAAATTATTGAAGATAATCCT